CGAAGATGGAAGCAAGGAGGGAGGACGTGGGGGAGGACACGAGGGAGTCCCTCAGCAGGGGACAGAAGGGGTGCAAAGGATCTGCTCTCAGCGGGGGCATGGAGGTGACAAGTGTGAGTCCCTGCCATGGGCCAATGAGCCAAATATGGTTTATGTAATAGAGGTGGAATATACGCTATTCCCGTGTAATATATGTGGGATATGAGCTATTCCAGACCAGGAAATGTTCTTTCTACTCCCACTACAATCGAAGGAGACGGTTAAAAGTTCTTCACCTAAAAAGGTGGAGAAACGAGTCGCGATGCCTGGCAGGTCTGGATGAGCACATGCAGCTCCGCGATGTCCCCACGGTGCCCAGGGGACAGCCCCAGGTCCCAGGACCATGCTGCAGAGGCACCAAAAATCCCCCAACACCGGCAAAACGCGCTGTTATTTAAAACACGGATGCAGCGCCGCCGCCGTAAGGGAACGTCCCCGGAGAAAACGCCCGCTCTGCAAACACTCCACTCGCAGCCAGCCGTGTCCGCGCCGAGAGGTCCTGCCTGGAAGGGGACATTAGGGAGGGGAAAAAGAGCCACGACGGAGCCTCTCGCCGGCATCTTTGCAATATTCCGCAAATCCCCCACGGGCGCCGCTGCTGAACGCTGCAGTTTTGAATTCAATTAAAGCGATTATCTGTTGTGCCAAATAAATTGTGTACAGCATCTATCCTGCAGCATTTTACACCTTCGGGCTCATTATTCGCTAACCGTTTCCTCCTGTTTATGCGCTCTCAAATTAAATTGCTGATAATATGCGCCAAAATAAAAAACGAGCGCACCTTGTCCGAAGAAAATTGATTTTCCCTTTTTTTTTTTTTTTTTTTTTTTTTCTCTCTCCTCTCCCCTCCCCTTTCCTCCTTTCTCCCCCTGAACCGGGCGATTGCCAGGTTTTATATACTCTGTTCCTGGCGATCATTAGTAATTCAATTTTCTTTTTATTAGCCCCCTTATCTGCTGAGCAATATAGTGGCAGCGCTGACCTCTTTCGCACGGGTAAATGTTTAAAATCTTTTCCCTGATTAATTTTGCCAGTTAAGGAAAAGAGGAGAAATGGCCCGGCTCTTAGCCATCACAATGAATAAAGCTTAATGTTGATTGTGATGGAATTTCTAATGCCAAGAAAATTGATTGAACGCAGCAATTACACCGCAATAGTAACTCAAGGGAAATGGGATAGTTTTCTCCTGGCCATAGCCTTTTGGTTATTTAAAACAATCCAATTTGCAAGGATAATTATATATTAGTGTTTTATCTGCCACTCGAAATGAACATGGGAGTTTTGATACCGGCCCAGCATTAGCAGGTTATTGCTGCAAATTACTTGATATCTGCTTTCTTTCACATAAAGACGAAATTAGGCCATCAATAACGGGAAAAAGGTGGACAGGGCGCTGGGGAGATGCGAGGGCCAAGAGTGCCCTCTGCAGGGCACCAGGATAACCCCAAAAGGCCCCAAAAAAGGGCCAGGGACGCCGTAATTAAGAGTTTGCTGTGACGACGGGAGCGGAGGAAAGATGCTCTGGGATGCACACTTGTCATCAGGACAACGCGACTGTGACCAACTGTCACCAAGTCGCTCATTGGAGCGGGAGGCCCCTGTTTATCCTTGGCCTCGAGTCATTTGGATGTGTCATTTTTGTGCAAGACCAACAGCTCCAGAATTGGGCTAAAACAGCAGGATTTTGGCCCATTAGGTTTTACTGTGGATAAGAAGGTTTCTCCTTCTCACACCAGATTCCCAATTCGGAGCCAAAGCATCTCGCCTACACAAAAGGCAGGGAAGACATCCTGATCTGTTGCATATATACAGCAATTTATATATACACATCTATATGAAGCTTGGCACTTAGAGACAGGAGCCTGAAGCAAGTGGGTGCAGGCACAAAACAAAGCAGACACCTCAGAGACACTCAGCAAATAGTTCAAACAGAAGAAGTCCAAAAACAACATCAAGTTCTTGACCCCGGCCCAAGTAATTGCTTGTTTTCTGAACAGATTTACACCTTCAAGTTCTCTTTTGCCCTAAAAAGAGTGAAAAGGCCTCCAAATACACCAAGATGTCCTCCGAATGCCGATCATCGGGAGCCTCCAACATGAAACCACATTATGGCTCGATGTCCACAGCTTTTCCACGTCCACGCTTCAAAACAGTTGCCTAACATCTCCAAGTGGGGCTCTGTCTTTGCTCCCACCTTCAGGATGTACCACAGAACCTGTGCCATGTACCCCAGGATGCCTTTAACCGGGCAAGCCCCAACGTGGTGCTTCTCTCCATGTTTCTCCTGCTCCCAAAGGCTCCTAGAAACATCTTGGTCCCTCAGCTACTCCCTGACTCCTGCTCCTCTTGTCCTCCAGGACAAGCATCTGAGTGCAGCCTGAACCTGAGCACAGAACCCACCTTTCTGTCCACACAGTCCTGGGTTCACCCATCACCACAGCTCTCACTGAGCTCACTACCAAGCCTGCATATGTCTAGCCCATTCCAGGGCAAACTAAAACACATCTGCTCACAGAAATGCCCCTGGTAGCAGAGAAACAGTCAGGAGCGACAGATCAGCCTCAAACAAAGGCCCAGCACCAGCCCTGCCAAAATTCACCTGGCACTTTCCAAGCCCTCAAGGCTCCTGTCAACCTTCCGTATATGCCTCACTCTGCAGCAGCCTCCTTTATGTTCAAAGATGCTGGTGTCAGGGGATGGACCCTCTGGCAGGTACTTTGGGACCTCCTGGACCTCCTCCCAAGACCACAGAGGCTGGATAATCAGCAACCCCCAGAATTAGCCCCCTGCACAATATTGGTGTTTAGCACTTAATATTTTAGTAGCAAGGGGATGGCCTGTAGATGTGGCGGGGAAGAAACTGCACAGACTTTAAAGGCTCTACTACAGAAAGCAGGAAAGAAATTTTGAAAGTATTTTATAATTATAGTGGGGAGAAAGATGGGAATTATTTTTAAATCACCGTCTAAAACAGCAGCATCTGGCTGCCTGCTAGCACAACTCACATGCACAAACTCAGGGAAGGAAAGCAGGGCATTTCCTTCTGCTTTGGTCCATCTGCAAACTGCAACACCACTTTTTTTGGAAAAGTTGACTGAAGATTGCAAGATATAAAAGCCCCCTGCAAAAATTCGGGCAAGTTCTCAAAGCAGAGTCTCATTTCCACATCTGTGAGTCAAGCTCTGATCCAAGCACGTCAACATGGACAGCTCTTGACTCCAGGCTTCTTTATCTGCCTTCTGCTGCTTGGATCATGCCGGCAGCACAACCAGGTTGCTGTCCTGTCCAGCTATTTTCAGTCCTTCCTGGTTTAGAATCCAAAACCTTTTCTTTAGAGGAACATTTCCTTCCATCAATCAAAAATACATTCCTAGAAATACCGGGGATTTGGCAGCTGCCAATCAGGCTCCCAGAGGGTAGATTTTAATCCATTTTCCACATTTTTAATTTCTACGAAGCTTTACTTCTGTGGAAAAAAAAATAAAAGGAGATGCTCTGAATACACAACTGTAATTCCCTCAGTTTCAAGTTGAGCTCTACTCTGCCCTGATGAAGCCCTAAAAATAGGAAGGTGGGAAACAGAGCAAGCTCTACAGTCATCCCAGGGCCACAGCAGCTTATGAAGAAAGCTGGAAGCTGCCTGATCCTTGCTCTGACCAGAGGATCCCATTGCAGGGTTGACATCTCCAGGAAGAAACCACCTCCAGAGACATTCCCTAGTGAAAGCCAGGGTTAAGGAGACGGAATTCAGACAGCACGGCCAGAAACAACAGCTCTAGCACTTCTGCTCTGTAAATCCCACCATAGCAAAGCCAGGAGATATTTTCCAAGCCCCAACCAGGAGCTCTGTAGCATAAGAATTTATTCAGTGTCTGGAGATGCACACAGACGAAAGGTCCCCAGGAAGCAGTTATGGGGGTCCAGGTCCTAAAATCACCCCAGAAGGAACAGAGGACATTTCCTGGGAGGCCAAAGGGCTGCATGGCCCCTTCAAACACAGCTGCACCACCCAAGGGGACCTCCTGGAGCCATTCTGTACCAGAGCTGGATCCAGCCACAAGCTGTAACCTGCCACCTCTGGGTTTAGGCATCTCAGAAGAGCAATCACAGCATGGGGACAGCAGATCTTCCCACCATACACACTGCCTTCACGCAGCACACAAACATATCTGGTGCAAACTGTCTGGAGATGCAGCATTCACGACCCTCCAGACACCAAAGTATTTGCTGACATCCTTAAATATAACAGGCTTTGACCCCAGAGCAAGAGAATTGTTGGAACACCAGACCACTGGTGTTACAGCAGAGTTAAATACAACCTTATTCTGTTTCTGCCTCTCCTACACATCTTATTCTGCCTCCCAACACACTAGATGTGAAGTTCTCCCGCCAGCACCTTCTCTATCCCTTTACTCTTCTCTTGGTGCATGTGTTTGAGGAGGGATTTGGTTTTTTCTCCACCTCTCCCCCAAGCCTTTCCCCTTTCCTGAACTACATACAGGCCTTGATTTTTCTTTTCTCAAGACGTAGCAATGCCTGAACCCAGGCTAACACAGCACTACATGTCAAAATACCTATAATTACATGAGCAAACACAGATCAATTTAGGCTCGGAGACACCACTCAGCAGCCTTTATTCCTCCAGCAATTTCAATTTTAACCCAATCTCATATAAAAACTAGACTCCTGCAGACACTGCAGTAGGATTCAGGTGCATTAGGTTGAGCTACAATTGCTGAGGAGCAACTCAGGATCCGCACAGGCTTTTCTCTTGCACAAAGAAATCACCCAGCAATGCACGTTACCACCATCTACAGCATCTTCTTCCTGATATGTCCCTCCTCAAGCATCCTCCCTGCCAAAATTTGTGAGTCGAGCACATTGTTCCTTCCCAAGATTAGGAAGGAGGAAGGGAGGCTTTAGAATGGTCCTATCCAGGAATGTCACACAGTTGTTACTACCTTCCTTGGTGGAGACTGGTGTCCGGGCGGGCGGTAGCCTGCACAGCCGGTGCTTGGTGACGTGCACGAGGCCGCGGGGTGAGGAGCGTTTCGGCGTTGCAGAGGGTTTCCCCCGCGAGGGGGGTTTCTTCCTGACGTGGAAGTGACTTCTCAGAGGTGTGGTAGGAGAGGAGCTGCTCTTCTTATCCGTGGGGGAACTGAAAAGGATCAAGAAACAAGAGGCTAGAGATGGAGAATTAAGTATTTGACTCAACTCCTTCCCTCCTGGTTTCTGCCCATCACATGCAGGGGAGAAGACAGTGTCCATTTGAGAGCTAAGAGGGTGAAAAGAGGAGAAAATTTCCAACTTCTCCAGTCCTCTTGCTCCAAAGTCATTTTCTCAGCGTGACCTACCAGCAGACAGGAGTCCCAAGAAACCAGGACAAGCCAAAGATGAAGAGCTGGGAAACCAGACCAGGAACCAGAGGCCCCATAGTTTCAACACGGGCTCTGTCATTAGCTTGTTGCATCACATGGAATAGTCACAGAGGCCACAACCCTCATTTCTCAAGAGCTTCCCTGCACATTTAAGCCTCCATCCAGCCCTGTTGCTGTCACCCTGCTGAGAACTACAGCACAAAATGCACCTTTCCCACGAGAGCACAGTGCAACTCGCCACGCTGCTGTGGTAATAAAGTCTGGTCCCAATCCCTTATCTGTGTCTGAAGGGAGCACCACCGACACCATCACATCACTTCCAAGAGCAGATTTACGGCCAGGAATCACCTCTTCCCGGCACACACAAGTCCGCAGGATTCATTTACTCTCCCCACCTCCACCCCGGAGCCTGCCAAGTGCTTTATGATGACAGATGATAAAAGATACGGCGATCAGAGGCACTTCTTCCAACGGTCCCCAGTGTAACGAGGAGCTGAGAGTTTGCAAACAAATCAATAAGGAAAGAAAGATATTTCCTCCCCTCTGAATATTAGCACATTATTATGGCTGGGGGGGAGGCTCCTAAGTGCTGTGCTGAAGTCCTCAGGGAGCAGGGATGGGAGATGAGAAGGAAACCCACCTGATGCCTCACAGGGAGCCCACACAGAGCAACGTCATCTTACCTGAAAAGGAAAATATATCCACCCACAGTGTTATAATTGCACTCATTTGTCCACAATTTATGTGCATTTCAGGTTATTCTCTCATTATTAACCATTTTTGTGTTGTTCAACACAGATACCTCGCCTGAAAGGGCTACAAGCATTTAAAAAGGGCACAAAACCTCCCGTTGAAGCCAACAAACATGATATAAAACCAAATACACCAACTCACCACGAGCTTCCTCTTCTCTTGATGATCTTCGTGCGACTCTTCACTTTGTAACCAGAAATGGAGGCATCACCCACGGAGAACTTCTCCCCACCGGCCGCATCACTTGGATGAGATGGCACAGAGAAAGCATGAGGGGCACCAGAGGCCCCAGCCTTTTTTTGGTCCTCAGATTGCCACCTGAACACCGACTTGGACGTGGAGGGGGAAGTCTGCAGGCTGGACGCTTTCCACTTGTATTTGCTGGGGGAGGTCCCAAGTTTGGGCTGCAGCACAGGTTTCTTCAGCTTTGCTCCCAAATCTCCTTTTGGTGGCAGCTTTGCCACTTTGTCCATTCCAGCCGCAAGTTTCCTCGTGCTATCAGAAGCTCGAGGGCTCATCCACTTTTTCACCGGGCGGGAACATTTCCCGCCAGGGTTGGCAACCCACGTGTAGTTGGTTTTCCTGAATTTCGGAGCTTTGCCGGAGCCTGACGTTGAGGCGGCCCTTTGGAGAGCAGGCGCTTTGGGGAGTATGGAAAACCGACTCTTCACTGCGTTCGCCCCCGTTGCCGAAACCGGAGCAGGCCTAGGGTGAGTCTCAGCATTCCCAAGGGGCTTTGGCTCTCGGAGAGCATCTCTGACCTGCTCAGAGATGGACTGTCCAGGAATGGGTGGCTCTGGCTTCTTCCAAACCAAGCGGCGAGCTGGCTGGCGGGCTGGCCCAGCCGGAGGCTGCTGAGGCTCCGACTTGAGCGTTACAGCACTCTCGCTCCCACGGGAGGCAGCGCCCTGGGCCACCTCGCTGGACAGACGCACCGTCCTCAGCACAACAGGCGTGTTGGGGTGTGACAAGCTCACAGGTTGGCTAAAGGAAACAGAGAGCCGCCTCTCACCCTTCTGGCTCACGTATGGAGAGCTTGAGGATTTCGGCAGGTTTTTATTGCTGTCCGGAAGAGCTATCGCCTTTTTTGGCCCGGAAACCTCCCGGTGAGAACTCACTTGAGCAAAAGTTTTAGTGTTTGCAACCAGGCTGGTCCTCTGCGGCAGCTGGATCCCAACCACGATATTCCCGTCCCTGGTCAAGTCCACGTGTCTCTCTGGGGATGCTGCTCGCGGCTCGGGCTCCTGGCTGTCCCCTGGATTTACGAAACCCTGGGAAGTGCCAGCACTTCCGTCGCTGCTACCAGTGACAGGCGGTCGGTTCACAAGCGAGTACTTCTTCCTCCAGGAGTTCCCTTGGCATGGCTGGAAATCCCGAGGGGGTTGTTGGGAATAGGCGGCGGAAAACGCTCCGCGCCGGTTGAACAGGGGCTGCCGGGAGCTCCTCCAGCGCGGCGCAGAAGGCAGCGGCACCGGCGCGTCCCCGTGCACGTTTTTATGGTCATTTATGAGACCTAAAGACAAGGAGAGAGTGTCCGTTAATTGGCCGTTTCCCATCAGGGCATTTACAACGGCAACAGCTTTGCCGTTGCCAGAACCAGCGCTTGAATTATTGCTTTGGGAGCCTAATAAGAAATAAAACGCTGATTTTATTTCCAGAAATGACTTCAGGTTTCCTCGAAGAGGTTTCCATTAATACAGGGCCCCTAATACGTGTAGCCCACCAGGGATGAGAGAGAAGGCAGCAAGGAGGAGGCTCAGGAGGCCACCAAGGTGAGTCCCTAATGAATCATCAGGTTAACACAAACACAGGCATTAGGGAGCTCATTAAGCATCAGCCTTTAGAAAACACTTCAAATAAAAGGGATTAACAAGAACCTTTTCTTTTCTTGAGCCTTGTATTTTAAGGCTTCTGCTGCTTTACTCCTCTCTCCCTACTTTATTTCATAACACACCCCCCAGCCTTGGCTTTTGCCGGGTTGTTCCCTCCAACAAGGTGGTCACCAGCCCCCAGGGACTGTGGGGGCCCCTGTCTTGCCCCTCCAGTGCTGGGGAGCCCTCTGGTCTCTACTCGCTGCCTCTGCCCAGACACCTGGGTGCCTAGGCCTGCCAGGGAGACCTGGGGCAGCTCCTCTTCCCTCTCCTCCTCCCTTGGCATTTTCCTGGCTTGTTGCTCCTCTCCCCCAAGCCGGGGGGCTCCTGGGTCCCCCCACAATCCAAACCTCCCCCCTCAGGACTCCTGGGCCCCCTCACAGCCTGTCCCTGCCCCCACCAGGACTCCTGGGTCCCTCCACAGACTGTCCCCCCCAACCCCTCCCTCTCCCCCACAACTCCT